TATATATATATATATATATATATATATATATATATATATATATATATATATATACCAGGTGTAACAAAATTGTCCAATTGTTAAATTAAGCTTTGGACCGTTGTAACTTAGAAATGATTAAAGATATCTTACTGGAATTCTCCGAGGTTTTTATAACACTATTGGACTCTTCTTTGACGCATAAGAATGTATAATTACTCTCCAAGCTTAACAGAAGACTCATGATAAAATCGATCATATACGAAAAAGACATGTTCATCATTAATTAATCATAACTAAGAAAAGAAGTATTGAAATAAAGTTCAAATATATATACATTATTTCAGGATCATTTTCCAACTTATTCAAGATGATCTTCGTCCTCTCTAGCCTTCTAACTTTCTGTCCTGGAGTAACAAGTTGCTTCACACGTTTCACGTACGATTTCATTTTCAAGTCTTTTTTCACTGTTCTTTGAACTGTCATAGCTGAAACTCCTCTCTTACGTGTCAAACCTCTTATAGATTTAGTTGGATCTTCTCTAATTGATCTCTTTAGCTCTAAGTTGAAATGATCATCCTCTTTCTGTTGTGGCATCTTGATCTAGTTTTCCTCTCTACCGTTCCCTCTTTTTTAAACTTATTCGCTGTTCTCTTGATGTTTCTTGAATGGACTTTGAAAATGGAAGCCAGAGTATGAATTTTGGTACCATTAATGAAGGCCTAAATGATTTTTCCTCTCACCATTGCTCAGTTGAGAAGACAGTTGGGCTGACACAAAAAGATTTTAATCTGTTCTCTTTCTAGCTGAATAACTCAAAGGAATTTTCAGTAATTCTTACGATAAATGGTATCAAGATGTCTAAACGTCTTATCTGAAAATCAGAAAAAAATAAACCCAATTAGTTTAGTGAATTTTTAGATATTACACATTTTGTGGGATGGACAATTATACTGTTACACGATTTGGACAATTTTGCTTTTACACCCGGTATATGTAGGTGGGTGACCCAGTAATTAGAACGTTCGCTTTATGACCTTATAAATACACACATGCACACACATGTATCTGAGTGTGGCTCTGTGCATCTCTATATTTTTACGAGTAACAATCATAACCATCTTCAATAAAACTGCCCTTGGTGATTCCGATCTATATTTGTTGATGTGTGCTGTATAATTTTAACCTCAGTAAAAAAAATCCGATTTCCAAGAAACAGTGATTAGTAATCTTGACTTACAGAATTTTATTTTTACATTAACTTCGATATTCTGTGGGTGCTCCAAATCTATGGCCTTATTCCGTACTAAGCTGGGTATATATTAATAATATAATGATTGGTTTAACATAACGGGATCATGCTGATCCTACCAATACCGGATAAAGTTCGACCTTTCTTGTGTATAGGAATAGTGTAGCTTCGTGTTATAATAACTTAGGCTTCGTACAGATAAGAACAAGACATTTTTATTATTATAGCGGGGGTTACCAACAACTGTTACAGCCTTCCCGACTATTGTTTGACGAAGACTCTTGGAATAGCCCTCAGACCTGCACTAGTAAAGTTTTAACATGAACTGAAGCATAAGCTTGATTTCCTCACCCTTTATATCAAGGGTTTACATGTTATAAAACACCGAGGGGGTACAACGGCATTTAAGTCCCAGTGTGGTAGGTATTTACTGGAAATTCCTTTTTCCTAAGCAGACTAAGCTGACTACAATGATCTGCCACTCTATCGAAAAAATGTTCAGTATAGCTTAGCTCGTCACATCTGCAGAGGTTTTCAAAGAAGAGTCCAATAGTGTTATAAAAACTTAGGAGAATTCCAGTAAGATATCTTTAATCATTTGAAGTTACAATGATTCAGAGTTTAATCTAACAATTGGACAATTTTGCTGTTACACCTGGTATATATATATATATATATATAGTGAAATGGACAAAGTCCGACAATTATTTTAAGACACTTTTATGTTTATACATTCTTTTTATAGATACAAATATTTAAGTAAATGCTCTGTTTATAATAAACGTCATTTGTTTACATTTGATACGCCATGAGCAGATATGAATGTACATGAGAGATTCATGGAAGATTGAAGTTTAAATACAGTAAATTCGACCTTGCTAACCGATTTCTCCTTCGTGGCCAAATCGGTAAAGGCACGTCAAGCTAAATGACAGTTCCGTATAAGATACAGGTTCGAATCCTGTCGGAGGACAAATATTTTTGTGAAAATTTCTCGCACATTCAGGCCGATAAATGTTGTTTAATAATTACTTAATAATTTACTTAAATATTGTATCTATAAACATAAAATGTCTTTTTTTTTATTTATATTTATATATATATATATATATATATATATATATATATATATATATATATATATATATATATATATATAAATAATAGATAGATTAGTTAATAAAACAAGGACAAAAGAAAGGGTATCAATATAATCAGTACGAAAAACATTTATTAAATATTAATTATTAACGATATGACAGAAATGAAGCACGTTAAGAAAGGTTTTAAGCCCGGAATTTTCGGACACTCCTGTGTCCTTCATCAACGGAGCGAGAAATAAACAGAGAAATGGTAATTACTCACCGACAGATGTTTTTGTAGACAATGTATTTTCTGGTGGAAATCATATTATTAGCAAAAATCCGATCTCTGATTCCTCGCTGTGCGAAACTTTTCATGAAAATAAGTTAAATTTCATTTTTTTTAATTCCAGATTTTTTATTGATTTCATCTCCGCAATTACGACTAATATTATTGCCAATCTGGTAACTGTTATTATATTTTTATGATTACTAATTTTTCACTTGGTATAACTTCCTACAGCCTGTATTTTGAAAGAGGTTATGGTAATAAGGATATATATATATATATATATATATATATATATAGTTCTCTAAGCCAATTTAAGGATTTTAAATGTTTTTGGATTTCTAAATAAAGAGATATTTCAATTACATTATTAACTAATCAAAATTATTTATAATAATAATAAAGAACGGAAGAACGGAGAATGAGCGAAGGCGGACAACTAGCGCCTCATAATCAGCTGCTTCGGGTCGATGGAATACGACTGCCCGGGAAATCAATCCATATATGGAAAACCCTGAGTGAAGCCCCGAAAGCGGTTGACTGTTGACGCTGACAACTTTCCGGCAACTCCTGCAGCTAACTCAGCCCCAAATTTATTTCATTGGATTTTGTCGCTACGGCCGAGAGGGTGGTGGTATGCAGTCTGGGCAATACACGGCCTCCATATATCATTGCCCAGGAGAGGACTGTCCAGTCTCACCACCAAAAAAAAACTGAATTTTGTCCAAACGGGGCGAGACAAATATATCCCTACAACAACAACAACAATCATAATAATAATAATAATAATATTAATAATAATAATAATAATAATAAACGTCTTAATCCTATACCATTCTGGACTGTTACGACTTCTGATCTTAATTTTATGCATGTGTTTACATGCGCTAGTTTTATCTTGGTAACTTAAGATGGGATACAATAATTATTCCGTTCAGTACCACAAGTTTGCTTATCATTTGCTTGATCTTATCAAGTTGGACATGTCGCCCAACGGATTGATGCACTGTACATCTATGTTCATGAACAGGAGTAGTGAGTGCGCATCATGGCCGATTGTGGAGCGAGTTGTTTTGTACGTTTGAAAGATGAGGAAGCCCAGGCGTCTTGAAAGTCACATCTAGATACTTGAGAATACCCTCAATTGGAGACTATCTGAATGGACTGGACTTAGAATGGAGTGTGTCCGAGCTGGACTTATTTAAATAAAGAATACGTATAAGGGGCGATAATGCATACCACAATCTCCCCTAATGATTATTTGTAAGGGAAACTCCATTCCACCGATCCAGTCTACTGCAGGTCAATTGAGGACGTCTTGGTGGTTCGCAGTCGACAGCCACCTCCGATATTGATTCATCTGAGCTTGTTGCCCCAGGTTTGTCTTGCCTATCTGGCTTTGAAGTATAAACCTTCGACTTGAAGGGCTTCGATTTGTAAGCCACTGCGTCTGAATTTGAAATAGCGGTATGCGTTTCAAAGTGAACTCGTTTTTAAGGTGCTAATTCCTAAAATCATGTTGGTCCATTTGTTCTGGTAGCGATTCCGTGTCTGATTTCTCGAGGCAGAGGGGTTACTTCCGCAGGGGCCAAATCCTTCAACGACACAGTATCTCGTCCAAATGCTAGATGAACGCGTAATGCGGGTTTACCTGTATTAATTTAACTGAAAAAGAACAAAAAATATATTGCGAGTAATGCGCTAACATGCCAATAGCTCGCTAAAGTGTTCCCATGTTGTCAGGAACTGACAGTTTGAACAGAGGTTTTAATCGCTCACCCTCTGGCTTCATATCTCCTTCACTAACAGTGTACTCTAATAGATTCTCACTCAAAAGAGACATTTTTCTTTATTTAATGTAAGCTTGTATTTTTTTATCATCCATCATAAACCATTTAATTTTGCTATCATGGTGTGCCTTGGTTATCTATGTAGGCTAATGTGTCCTTAAATTTTTCTGTGCTAATTATATTGCCAGTGATTCTTTGTAAACTCGATACGCCGTTAATCACACGAAATAGAATCCGTCGAAACTGATACAGACGATTATTCACCTCGAAGTATGTATAGAGTTGACCCTCTGGCTTGATTTCTACTTGGTGGTGCACACTCCGGAGACTCAAAGTACTATAAACGCGATATTTGGCAATTTCAGTCACCATCTCGTCGATTCGATGTAGTGGGTATGCATTTAAGTGGGTGAATTTATAAATCGTCTGGGAATAGTCTATTACTAATCTCTTTTTATGGTTCTTAGAAGAGGTCATGAGTACCTGTGCCTTCTCGCTTGATTCAATAACTCCTTCTTCGAGTATTTCCGTTATTTCGGTTTTAATAAATTGTTTATCATCGTGTGAGTAGTGTCTAGATCTTACTGCTATGAGTTTCCAGTTCGGCGTTAAGAATTACGGGTGTCAATAACGGTGTCCACAGGTACATTGTTAACGTAAATTTTTAGTATGGTTTTCGAAAGGCGGTCTGGAGAAGCAGCAGTTATGACAGAAGAATTGACATAATTAGAAAAATATCCAGGTTTCTCACCTGCCGTTTCTGGCTGGATAGGAATATCGGAGGTGAAAAGGGGATCCACAGAAGAAACGTTTTTTTGTCGAGACTGTCCTGTGTAGTTATTCAGAGGTAGAACCTTGGACACGAGAAGAGGCTGAAGACAAAAATGAACAGCCGAGAGAACAGTGAAACTTTTGAGAAGCACCAACAGTAGGTATGAAAAAAAACGAACTATCTCTGGGCGTCTTCTAAATTGGGGGATATCTCGTAGGCAGTTCTTAACGTCATGGTTTTATTTTCGAAAAATATCTCTGACTCACTTGAGCATTTCGAAGGCCATTTGTAAAGACAACCACAGTATGTTCGTCCCGGAATTCTTCTGCATTCATTGCTTTAAAATTTTAGTATTTGTTTAATGTTCTCAATTCATTTAGGTAGCGCACAAGTGATTCACCATTTTCCTGTTTCCGAGTGGCGAGTAGGTGTCGAGCGAAAACCTCGTTTTTAGGCTTGACTTAAATTGCGTGAAGCAAGTTTATAGCTTCCTCATAAGAAAGGGAATCTGAAATTATCCTGTAGACAGACGAGAAACAAATAGTTTTCTATCAGCATCGTCTTGTCTATTTGTCGATGAGGGTGCTCTGCTTTAAGGGTTTCTACTAAGTTTTCGAACGTTAAAATCCAATGGGTCCATTTCTCAGCAGCTATGGTATGGTCAGGGTCTCATGCAATCTTTCATGTGGATTCTAAATCGAATAAATTGTAGAACGCAGTTATAACTTATCTGAAGCTTTATGCGACTTAGAATGTAGTGTGCCTGAGATGGACTTATTTAAACACAGAATACGTATAAAGGGCGATAATCCATACCAGACGTTCCATCCGTTTTTGTTGCGAGGAAAGATAGGAGAAAATAATAACAGGAAGAAAGAAAGAGAAAGCGCTAATGCTCACATGCGTTAAACTTCTATGAAACGGTAAACATCGTAAATTATAAAAAAATTATTTTGTAAAAAAATATTAAATTTCGTGCATTTTTATGGCCTTCTAGGCTCAAGCGGTGAATGCCACGATCTTGTGAATCTACCTTTTTTGAAAACTCGGGGGTGGAGGCGGTTACATATATTGGCCAATGGGAATCAAGTTTTTCTAGCACCTAAAAATTTGGGCTGGAGCCAAATTTTATGACCCCATTGAGAATAAAAAGAACTGCTATCAACAGTTGGAGGGAAGAGAGTTGAAAAGAAAACGACAGAGCATCAACTTCAGCCGGGGTAGTTTTCAAAAGAACAATACAGTGAGAGGTTATAAATCTGAAAAATCTGAAAGATCCAAGGCAGATTCGTACGACAAATTTCACACTCTGGAACCTACAAGAATATACCTACGTTAAATCTCCTTCGAGCTGATAAAACCTTTACAACGGAGGTTGGTGTCATTTAAAAGATTGTGTCTTGCGCCATATTGTGAATCCTCTTACTGCGAGTTTTCCCTTATTTTTATATTTTTGAAAGGATATATTTGTATACGAATCCGTTGATCAACATTTTTGGTGAATTGTATTTTCCCGTTTCTAGGTGTAATCTTTTTATTGCCTCAAATTGTTATCCTGCCAAAAGAGGCACACAAAAAAGGCAATCATAGCAGAACTCTTGTTTTGTACTTTTTAGATTTGTAATTGTAAATAAATGTTCCTTTGAAAATTTTACGCAATGGACGTCTTGTTTTATTAAGTTGCGACTATTCGAGTGTTGCTGTCTCTACCAACTAAGTTTTGTGTCTGGCACAAGAACTTGGAGTTGGTAGGAAAGCAAAATTTTTATAAAATTTCAAATCGTTTCATTTTTTTCTCTTATTACTTCTTTAAATTATGACTGCATTTATGTTTATGATTGCTATTGCAATCTTCCAGGAAAGCTGTTTGGTCAAATATTTAACGATAGGGCAATTTTCACAGATATTTTGTAGCCGAAGATTTCACAAGAAGCCTATTCAATCGTTAATCTAAGAATAAGGATTCATGAGAAAATTAAAACTGGAATAGCAGGACGTATTCACGGGTGCTGCTAGTATTAATAATAATATTAATAATAGTAATAAAAATAATAAATTCACTTACCTTTCACATTTTTGATTAGAACAGCATAATAAGGTTTCAGACAGACAACAAACAATTCAAATATGAAATATATTTTCTTTTATTCCAGATTGATAGAAAAGTGATTTTGACACACACACAAAATATAAATATATCAAATACGCAATAGAAAGTGGGGACAGTTAAATTTCTTTCGGGAGTGGGGACTGCAACATTCAATATGGCGCTAGGAATATTAAAATACTTATTAAGTCTAATAAAACACCTCATTATAATTAATTTTGATGTAATTTTAATTATTAAATGATACTGTGCAAAGCTAAATCTTTAAAAATAAGTTTTAGCAATATATATATATATATATATATATATATATATATACTCGCGGAGAATATTTTTTCGGCAAAAACTGTTTCATTTACAGCCCATAAATTTGGTATGCATGGTTATTGAACACAAGTTAAGAGTTAGATGAATTTTAATCCGCATGAAGAAAATGATAGTATAGGTCTTTTCTGTATCTGTCTATATTTCTGAGATGAGGTATTATGTACACTATTTACATTATTCGGGCTATTGTCCTCATCTTTGTCAGTTATCTCCTGTTAATTCCCCTCTCCAAGTTCTCCACCGCCTTAACCCGGTACTTAACTCACACACTTTGGCTCCTGTCACTGGATATAACCAACGCCTTTATCCACTGTGCCATGTGTCCTTGATATAACTAATAACTGACATCCATTAGACATGGCACGTGGAACTAGAACAGTGTACCCCAGTGAGCGAAATAAAGGGTTCAGTTCGACATTCCAACCACCTGAAGAAGGCCGGAGCGTACAATGGCCGAAACGTTGTAATGAATATGAGGACAAAGATGAGGACAATAGCCCGAATAATGTGAATAGTGTCCATCTTTTCTATTATGTGACTTTATCTTTAACAGTAACAATTACCGTTTGTAACCGTTTAGTAGTGTAAGACGACAATTTCTTTTTTATTATTAATTTTCAAACGAGAAAAATATTTTGTGTCTTAAAGCAATTTTTGCAGAACAATTTTTCCTCGAAAATATATTTTCTTTATTTCATCGTATTTCTTTATTGAAAAATTAAGAGAAAATATGAATCTTTTTTTTTTTTGTTTAAGTTACTGACTGCTATAACTATCTTTACGCATTTGCTTAAAGCAAAACAAAAAATCGCAATGTCCCCTCTTTGTGACCTGCATCGATGAAAACTAACTTTGACGCCCGTGTATAATAAAAAAAGAAATTATTTTAAATGGCAACGAAGACATTTCATGTTATTTTAAACGTTATACTTAGTGGATACACGTGTTTGATTAGACACCTTTTTTAACGATGTGAATTATGTCATTCGAGCATTCGAGTGATTCAGACGGAAAATAGATTTCTGTATTAAGTCTCTCGAATGCACGTACCGGTAGACTGATCCTACTTGCTACAGAAAGCATGCAGCGACTCCTAGTATGCTGAGCAAGAGATCCTCACACGAAGCTCTGCTATGACCTTGTAACATATTAAGTAAATATCTATAACTGCATTGCCTTGTTTAGAAAGACTATCATAAAGCGATTAATTGCAAACTCGTTTCACACACCGATTAAGTTTTACTCTTTGAAACTTTCAGGATGCTCCAGTAATGTAGCCTTGTCCCAAATAACTGTGTCAGATCTTATCTGTAGACTATTCGTTTAGAATAGTCAAATATGATTATTTTCCGCCTCATAAGCTGCATTACGAGTAAAGTCCAAAACTCACTTTGCATTTTATAATCCGATGGTTGAGCTTAGTTACCCGACTAATATATAAATACCCTTAACTGACACAATCGTTTTTTGACGACGCCAAAATGAAATATATGTGATTATAAATAATTCAGTTATGAATGCAAATCAAAGTTATGTTAAAATAGAATGCTAGTCGCTGTATACGGTGACGCCATTTCTCATCGAGTTTGGCCATGTTACTCTCGCCAGACAACAAATTTGCAGCATGATCGGCTTGTTCAAAAATGTCGACAGGAACAAGCATCTCATTCGTAATGTCGATGTGAATGGGTATCTCCTTCGTAATGCCGATGTGCTCTGTACTTTAAAATTTGAAACTGCATTTGGACTGAATGGACATTATTTTTCGATAATTATTAGTACTCTCTCTCCCCTCTCTCTCTCTCTCTCTCTCTCTCTCTATATATATATATATATATATATATATATATTATAAGAGATTATAATAAAAACATTTTACATCGCTACAAAAAAAGCTTTCATGTTTCAATACTATGTACTTCGTCAGGCTATGGTTAGTAACTGGTGATAAAAATGATTTTTTTAGGGAAATTTAAAAACAAAACGTTATTTCTTTTCCGAAAGTTAAAGGGCGGTGGGTGGGCCTAAGTTCAGAATTAAAAATATACTTATGGGTATGTCTCGATTAACAAATTGAAATTCAGATCTACGCTAAATAGAAAAATAAGGTGGGTGAGTTATTTTTTCATGTCACGATAATCCGTCGCTTAGGTATGTCATCATTAACGATTGTGGAGAAAAAAACAGCGACAAATGTATCATGGATGTAGCCAAATATGACGTTCTGTTTGTTGAAGTGGTGGGTCAGGTTAATCAGACGTAAAGTTATCAGAAATCATTTCTCTCTTTAAAATTTTTATTTGTATATATATATATATATATATATATATATGCAAATGAAAATTTTAAAGAAAGAAATTATTATATTATATATATGTGTGTGTATGTGTGTATGCACAAGGGAAGCTACTGTTTATCCACGGTGTTTTGACTGTTCGACTATGGAGAACTTTCCAGTAAAGCAAGGGTCTCTTATTTGCCGTAATTCACATTCACTCGTTCAGATTTTCTCGAAAGCCATATCTGCTCAGTTTCCAATCCGAAACGTAAACAAAGCAATTTCTAAAGAATTAATGGATTATATATTTTTTTTAATCCAGCATATTTTTATTACCTTAAACGTGTTTGAGTAAACACTGCGTTTTTAAACAGAGTTTATTTCGTCTGCCGGACAGCGCATTTGAGAAAATATAATAAAGAAAATATGCCCTTCGACAGGATTCGAACTTACGCACCCTAACCTTTTTTTTAAATAGCCTAATTTTACTTTGTTCTTACAAAATAGCTTCCTTAGATTATTGGTAAGGCACACCTGGCTTGGGAGGGGCGTTCCAGATTCAAAAGTGAATACAGTTTTAATTTTTAATCTTTAGGCCGGTAGACATTGTTTAAAAACAAATATTCATATAAGTAGGGCAGAACCATCAGTTAAATATTATTTTTCTTATTTAATCCTTAGTATTGTTATTGTTATTATTATTATTATTAGCAGTAGTAGTAGTAGTATTTGCGTGTTATATGGGTATAAATACAGTATATTGAATAATATTAAACAATCATAAATTATGAATTTTAGCATTTAATATAGCGATAATATCGATTATTTATGGTATTTCACCTTCATATTTTTAGAGTCTTTAGCATTCAATGCATGTGAATGCCTGACCGGCATTGATGGAATTTTATTGGGAAAGAGAAAAACTTTCAGTGGTACTGCCTTTGCGGATTGAACCTTCGTCAAATCGTTCGTCGTTTGCAGCTTGCCCACTGATTTCTGCGTGAGAATTGCGCTGTCAGGAGGTTTCATTATAGGCGAATTCAAGAGACCGTTTTCCAAATGCGACTCCGGGAGTTGCTCTTCCCGAAGTCGAACATCTACAAATTGTTGATTTTGCTGTTGCAGGGGAGACGGCGCATGTTGCCATTTGCGCGTTTGCTGGACCTTCATATAATTTTGCTGCATCGGCTCTTTCTTCCTCATCTGCAGTTTGATTTTCTGCCCTTTTAGTTTCGAACTTTTGGTATTTGATTTGCTTGACGTCACAACCGGAGACCGTGGATAAATGTAAGCCTGCGCCAAAGATGTGGGTATCTGTTCAGTAACAACGTTCCGAGTTTGCAGACGCGGTCGTATGAGGGCAATAGATCGGTACAAGCGCATATCGAGAAAGCTTTTTTGCTGTTGTTTCGCTGAGATTCGGTTCCGTATCGTTTTTCTCTTCTGCATCCGATTTTTATGTGGCAATAATGAAGATAAAATGGTCAGTTTCTGAAATGGCTGACTTGTTTCTGTATATTTCCGGGAAAGGTCAGTCGGTTCTGTTAGCAAATCAGAAGAATTCCTTTGTTTTTTCAAAGCGAACGAAGACGTCAAAAAGGAAATTCTGTTTCTTGCATCTGTCAGCAACCCAGCGGCCTTGGAGGGTGAAACAGGATTCGCGACATCTAACGGAGAATGTCTTTCATTCTCAGAGAGGGATATTAACTGTATTCTCGTGCTAGTAGAATGTTGTGTTTGATTTAAGTGGGGCCCTACAAGCTGTATTTTTGACAGGTTGCTTTTAAAATCTTGCAACGGAATTTTGCTTACCGTAGCTTTCATCCTTTTTGGCTGGGCTTGCTCTTTACTTTGAAATCTAATTCGGCTTTGAACGTTCTTTTCTATCCATGGCCTTTGAACTCCGGATGCTGTGATTTGACTCGCTAACTTAATTTGTCTTTTAACTACCTCTTTGTCGTTTTGAACTGTTCTTTTACTTTGCTTGAGTTGATCCCTAATTTGTGATTGGTTTTCTTGATTCAGGGATTTTATTTGAATTTTCGACAGTAACTGATTTTTCGCTGGTGATTCGGAACTTGTACTTTGAACCAGCGCTTGGTACCGCATTTGATCTC